CGGTTTGCGCGGGGCAAAGTGGCCGGGGCAAAGTGGCCAACCCCCAATTGGCCATAAGTTGCCTCCATCTGGATAAAAAACATTACTTGTATTCAAATGTGTCGTCATGCATTCATCTTGGCCACTTTTCAGTTGCATGATTTACCAAATAATGCAATTAAATGTTTTTTTTTCATGAAAATCCTTTCTTTGTTTACCTACAGGTGGAAGATGATAAAGTAAACATCCATCCTCGCTTAACCTTGTCACCATCAAATACCCTCACGAGGCAACTATTTTGTTTCTCATATCGGGACTTGAGAAGACGTCGGTGGCCGCTTTGCCCCAGGGTATGGGGCAAAGTGGCCAATATGCATAGGTTTAAAATTTTGTCAATATCTTTCATATGTGAACGCCTTTGGAAATAAAACGCAGTTGAAATAAAAGGCAACTTAATAGGGATCACATTGGTATAGAAAGAATCTTTCCAAGTTTAAAAATCAAGCGTTGGCATCGTGAGAAACGTTAGGGTGGCCGATTTGCCCCACTCTCCCCTACTTAGTACCTACCAACAAAAACTCACTCCTACAGAAAAAGCGCAGTACCATGGTGTCCATTTGTTTTAAATTTCACCGCGCGAGCCGCGAGATAACCCCAACGCCGCTTTATCATCAAGTCGGCATCTCGGCAAGCTCGTCGCATGGGCCTATGTCGCTGATAGGATAGCTAGTTTTAACTGACCAAGACCGGTTATATCTGGCTATAACTGTTTATTTGACATTCAGACGCATCAACGTTGTTGGAGCTGCGTCCATGTGGGCTGATGTCAGGCGGCCGACATACTGCTTATTAAGCATGCGGGGCAAAAAGGACACTAGCAGGTATGGGAGCGAAAGTCCGCTCTCGCATACATTTTTCACTAGCTGCGCTTCAGTGTTGCGAAGTGGCATGACACGCAGTATCTGATCTGCGCCTCGGCGCTGCCTGGGCTGTAAATACCAGCGTCTGGTGGTATTAAATTACATTATATACTTTGTATATAGCGATAGCAGACCTCTAGCTGAGGATAGAATACATTGCTCATGACATTTGGACGTTTTCCAGCAAGAGCCAGTGCTGCAGTTTACATCATTTTTTACGTACGTTTCTAGAACTTGTCGCGGAAAGAGTACAACATGCAATTTATGCTTACTTGAATTTGGTCTGCCTGATTTTTAATGCAATAACCAAACTGTTACCAACCTTTGGTAAGGTCACTGACCCGTATAACGTCATACGTTCTTGGCGTTTTATGTTGTCAAAACATTGTGCTTTGAGAAATTGCTTACAACCTGATTGACAGAAGTTTAGTGAAGTCACGGAATATATAGTCTACGACAATATATGTCGACGGAATACGACGGAATATATGTCGTAGACTATATATTCCGTGGTGAAGTCCCAAGCTTTCACAACTTCTTTGACTGCCTGCGTGGGGGGGGGGGGGTGTTTTTGACCTCACCCGCCAGTTTTTTTTATAGCGTAAATAGCGCTGCAAAACAGGGTATAGCTTATCATGCATTAACTTCGCATCGTGTGTAAAATTATTGACCCCAGGTCACATAAGTCAGGTCACCAGGTCAAGGTAAGTGGCCATGCCTCTAAAACATTTTGTGATTCAGTTTTCCTACAGTGTACATCGCTGAAGCTTGAAACTCAAGCTATTGCATGAGATAATCAGTAGGGGAGAGTGGGGAAAGATGCCCAGGGTTTTACTATGTCATATATTATTCGAAAATGACGATGGGAAAGCAAAAACTTGGAGTTTCAACGGAAGTCGACATCATTTTTCTCCAAAAATATCACACTTTCGTGCCTGAACTAAGATAACTTTTTTTGCTATTAAGCATTTTCCTGAAGAAGTGAAAGGGGGCATCTTACCCCACAGGGTGGGAAAGACGCCCCCTGGCGTTGGGAAAGATGCCCCCTGCACTATAAGTGACATAAATGGGCACGTGAATCGCCTGAACGAATCAGTAGTCCCTTCGAGCCTGCAGTAGACACCAAACGTCATCATAAGGGCCCTCAAAAGTAGTCGTAAGGGGCTTCAGAGGTCATCGTTAGGGCCATCATAGTCCAGCGCGGCCAAACAAGCCTCCGTGGTGGCGTTCGGAGACCACTGTGGGGCTCTTATAGGTCTTCATGATGCTTGAGGGCCTTCGAGCCCATCTTGGGGACCTCCGATGCCAGCGCGGCCCGTGGGGCCAACGTGGGAGCCCTCAAAGGATGTCGTGAGGGGTCCTGGAGCCAATAATGGGGCCCACAGAGGCCGTCGTGAGGGCTCTCAGAGTCAGATGCCGCCCAAAAAGTCGCTGTGTGGGCCGAGAGACCGGCATGGGGAGCACCCGACCGTACTGGACTCTCAATAGTCCCAGATCGGCTTTTGTCTACATCACAAGTATGTAATAAATGATTTGACGGGCTGTTTGAAGGGCAGCCTACGGATTTAGGGGGGCGTCTTTCCCCATCAGGACAGGGGGCATCTTACCCCAAGGTACCGAAGTAACATTAAATCAGTACAATTTGTTAGCCATAAAACGACACCCTTAAACAAACCGTTTGGGACACAGTACACGCATGCTAATGTATCACGACTATAGCAAGGGACGCAAAAATTATTTAACTTCTTTGATATTTACAATGTTTTGACACCAAAATATTTTTTGAAAGCAGCAAATAAAAAACATGCAATCATCAGCCAGCCGTTGCCCAACTGAGCTTCGCAAATTTTTGTGCAGTTAACAAGGCAGGCTTCCGCTTTACGCTAAGAACATTAATTTCCAGGTTCGATTCTTTGTTTCGCCGCTAGAGGGGGTGGGGCGTCTTTCCCACCCTGGGCATCTTACCCCACTCTCCCCTACCTAAAATTTGTTTATCTCGAAATTTCGATATCGGTGACCTATGATTAGGTCAATTCATGACCTCAATTTATGACCTATAAGATATAAGTTAACTAATGGGAGAAAGTTGAAATGCTCTTCTTTTGGCGAAAACACCCTCAAACATCAGGACACAGGTGAACATGACATACTGAACTGGAAAATTGCACCCTTGACCTGCTCCTGACGTCATCCTCCTGAGGCTCTGTGCTCCTGAGGTCATCTCAGGTCATTAAACGTCCCCAGCCGTTTTTGACAATAACTTTGGATAGAAGCATGCTAGAGCGCTGGAAACGCCATGAATGTGTTCAATTAACCATTACAAATCGAATGATATGTAGCATGATCTTTTCAGTGACCTTGACCTGAGGTCAATAATTTGTTTTCAAGTTTTGTTTAGGTCAACTTATAATTCATTCTACGCGTCTTGACAAGACAAACGCGATGCCGGTAAAATCAGCGTACCTAATACAAGCTTGAACTGAAAATTATGAGCATATTTTTAATTGACCGAATCCTCAATGTAATCTGAATAAAATGACAAATAGCAAAAATTCGGGTATATTCGATCACAGATCTTTGTCAACCGATACCAGCAGGCGCCACCTATACCAGGTGGCCACCTATACCAGGTATACCTAACCGATACCAGGTGGCGCCTGCTGGTATCGGTTGACAAAGATCTGTGATCGAATATACCCGAATTTTTGCTATTTGTCATTTTATTCAGATTACATTGAGGATTCGGTCAATTAAAAATATGCTCATAATCATCAATATGATTTTCCTCACTACGCTAAACTCTCTTAAACTTGAACTGAAAACTTATGATACAAACACCTTTTTGTGAAAAACCGTTAAATTTTGAGATTTTTGCCTTCTGGAGCAAAAACTCAAACCGTTGATCTTAGGTCAAATCTGAGAACAATATGTAGAGACCTTTGAAGGAGCTATCGCTTTTACGCAGCGCTGTGGCTTTGTTGGTTCCCGAAGCTTATGCGCTGATTTGTGAGAAGTTCTCAAAATCGAGAACAATATTCCGAAAATTTTACCTCTGGTGACCTCCAGTTACCTCAGCGATGACCTGATAAAAAATCGCCTGTATGCTTCTGGAAGATGTTATAGCGAACTATCGATTGCTTTTTACTGCGTGTTTCTTGCTTGTTTACTTTTCGAGATAACCTGATGTAGTAAAAAACACCCCCCCCCCCGCCATGGCGAGGTTCGCTGCGAGGCCCACCCGCGGGCGCGGGTTAACCCTCGTCCCGCTGGGGAGGGGCCAATTTGCCCCCCCCCCTGTGGTTTTTCCTGAATAGCAGGAAAACTCCGCCCGGCAAATTTGTAGTTCCTTCCCGGGCATCAATAAGACACCTTCACACAAAATTTCAAGTCTTAGGTCATCTTAGGTCAGGAGTTATTGAGGTCAAACTGAACGTTCAAACATGTGATATGTTGTTGGCCCCATGCATTAGGGTGGATGTCAATTTCACGAGAATGTCAGGTCAGACCATTGACCTTTGGTGACCTCGGCTCACTTTTACGAGTTTTATAAGTTTCTAGCCTAGTTTGTTAGCTGAATTCGAAATTAGCAGCCATTTTAACAGTTACGAAGTAGCTTTGGGGCCTTCGTAACATGTTACGAAGCTGCCAGAGGCGGTTGACACCTACTTCGAATACCCGAAAGGACCCCTACTGGTTGACCTGTCTTGACCTGACCCGACCCGGCTTAGATAATGGAGAAATCATCTGTCATCAAAACTATCATGATATTCTTGATCAGCACCCCTAAAAACTCCATAGCAGCCACACTTAATGACATTCTAACCGGTCCCGATTTTCCCGACTTTTGGGTCATTGATCTGACCTGGTCAAGCAATGACCTTAAACCTTAAAATTGGGTGTCATCGGCTTCCTCTCGTAACGGGCAGCACGTTCGCTCTTTCCGCGAAGCTCTGGCTCAATCAGGGAGTGAATGCTGGGATCATCAATACCAGCAAAGTTTTGCGTGACTGCGAGTGTCCGAGTGTCCGGGTGTCCGAGTGTCCGAGTGTCCGGGTGTCCGGGTGTCCCTCCGGGTGACCGAGTGTGTGTCGGTGGCTGCAGGTGGTGCACCGGCTGGTGATGCCACACAAGAACGACGAGCTGCACCACAGCGGCTGGAACGCGTGCTCCAGCTGCCACGGCGACTGCAGCCGGCGCCGCGACCGGCTGGTGCTTCCCGCTATCGGCTCCAGCCGCGTCTACATCGCCGACGTCAGCCGGCCGCGCGCGCCGGCGCTCCTCACCGTGAGTACGGCGCAGCGGCGCGGCGCACCGCTCTGACCTCTGGCCTCTTAACCCCTGACCTGTGACCTGACCTCTTACCGCAGACAGGTGACCTGACCTCTGCCGCGGACATCTGGTTCTGACCTCTGCCCTGACCTCAGATCTCTGACCTCTGACCCCCTGACTTGTGACCTGACCTCTGACCTCTGACCTGGGAACTGACCTCTGACCGCGGACATCTGGTTCTGACCTACGACCTCTGCCCTGACCTCTGACCTCTTATCCCTGATTTGTGACCTGACCTCTGACCTGGGAACTGACCTCTGACCGCGGACATATGGTTCTGACCTACGAGGCTACGACCTCTGCCCTGATCTCTGACCTCTGATCCCTGATTTGTGACCTGACCTCTGACCTGGGAACTGACCTCTGACCGCGGACATATGGTTCTGACCTACGACCTCTGCCCTGACCTCTGACCTCTAACCTCCGACCTTTCACCTCTGACCGCTGACCTGTGGACTGTGACCGCTGACTTATGACCTGCGACCTCTGACCTCTGACCTCTGACATATGGCCTCTGCACTGTCACCTCTTATTGTTGACCTGTGACCTGTGACCGCTGACTTCTGACCTGTGACCTGTGACCTGTGAACTCTGACCTCTGACCGTCAGACGGTGGAGCCGGAGGAGCTGGCCGCTCTGACCTCTGACGCGCTGACCTCTGACCTCTGACCTCTGACCTCTGACCGTCAGACGGTGGAGCCGGAGGAGCTAGCCACTCTGCTCTCTGACCTCTGACCTCTGACCTCTGACCGTCAGACGGTGGAGCCGGAGGAGCTGGCCGCTCTGAATGTCTCCACGCCGCACACCACGCACTGCCTGGGCACCGGCGACATCATGATCTCGACCATGGGTGATCGGAACGGCCAGGGGCGCGGCACCTTCATCCTGCTCGACGGCAAGACGTTCAAACTCAAAGGTGCGCCGGCGCGCCGCGCGGCCTGCAGCCGGTGCTGACGTGGGGACGGTCACAGGGCAGCGTCCTGGCGGGGACACGGGGCCGGCCGGTCTCCGGGTACCGGACGGAGGGTATCTGACGGGAGGTGCGGGGTCCCGGCCCTGGGCTCACCGGACGGCCGCGGCCCGCGGGCTGTGCTCCGTGGGGGACGGTCAGCCCACTGCAGTGCCCGCCACACAGCTGTGATGCCCCCGATCCCATCAGGCGGCTCACAGAGAGAGCGGCCGCGCCCTGCGAGGTCCCACGACAATCGGACCAGGAGGGCCGGCCGAGTCACGACTGCGGCTGGGCTCACGCTGTACTAGCGGTCTGTTTTGGCCGGCTCAGACCGGTGAAACAGGACCGCGGATTAACCAGGTGTCACGTTGTGTCTGCTCGGCAGGGACGTGGCCGGCCGGGGACGCGGCGGCTCCGTTCGGCTACGACTTCTGGTACCAGCCGTACTTTGACGTGCTGATCTCGACTGAGTGGGGCGCGCCGGCGGCGTTCAGCCGCGGCCTGGACCCCGCCGACCTGGCCGCCGGCCGGTACGGCACGCACCTCAACGTCTGGGGCTGGACCAGCCGCCGGCTCCTGCAGGTACTGTGTACTGACGGGGCGGGACCAGCCGCCGGCTCCTGCAGGTACTGTGTACTGACGGGACCAGCCGCCGGCTCCTGCAGGTACTGTGTACTGACGGGACCAGCCGCCGGCTCCTGCAGGTACTGTGTACTGACGGGGCCAGCCGCCGGCTCCTGCAGGTACTGTACACTGACGGGACCAGCCGCCGGTTCCTGCAGGTACTGTGTACTGACGGGGCTGGACCAGCCGCCGGCTCCTGCAGGTACTGCATACTGACGGGGCGGGACCAGCCGCCGGCTCCTGCAGGTACCGTGTACTGACGGGACCAGCCGCCGGCTCCTGCAGGTACTGTGTACTGACGGGACCAGCGCCGGCTCCTGCAGGCACTGTGTACTGACGGGACCAGCGCCGGCTCCTGCAGGTACTGTAATGTAATGTATACTGACGGGACCAGCCGCCGGCTCCTGCAGGTACCGTGTACTGACGGGACCAGCCGCCGGCTCCTGCAGGTACTGTATACTGACGGGACGGGACCAGCCGCCGGCTCCTGCAGGTACCGTGCACTGACGGGACCGGCCGCCGGCTCCTGCAGGTACTGTGTACTGACGGGACGGGACCAGCCGCCGTCTCCTGCAGGTACTGTATACTGACGGGGCTGGACCAGCCGCCGGCTCCTGCAGGTACTGTGTACTGACGGGACCAGCCGCCGGCTCCTGCAGGTACTGTGTACTGACGGGACGGGACCAGCCGCCGGCTCCTGCAGGTACTGTCTACTGACGGACGGGACCAGCCGCCGGCTCCTGCAGGTACTGTATACTGACGGGACCAGCCGCCGGCTCCTGCAGGTACTGTGTACTGACGGGGCTGGACCAGCCGCCGTCTCCTGCAGGTACTGTGTACTGACGGACGGGACCAGCCGCCGGCTCCTGCGGGTACTGTGTACTGACGGGGCCAGCCGCCGGCTCCTGCAGGTACTGTGCTCTGACGGGGCGGGACCAGCCGCCGGCTCCTGCAGGTACTGCATACTGACCGGACGGAACCAGCCGCCGGGTGACACAGTTACCGTTTCAGGTACAATGCATTAATATATCACTCGGCGGAGCCGCCTGCCTGCCCCCGCAGCGGATTGACCTGTGCTCCCCCGGCAGCGGACTGACCTGTGCCCGCCCCCCCCCCCCCCTGGCAGCGGACTGACCTGTGCTCCCCCCCCCCCGGCAGCGGATTGACCTGGGCGCGGAGGGTGTGATGCCGCTGGAGATCCGGTTTCTGCACGACCCGAAGCAGCCGCAGGGGTTCGTCGGCTGCGCGCTGAACGCGGTCGTGTACCGCTTCTACCTGGAGCCCGACGGCAGCTGGGCCGCCGAAAAGGTCATCCAGGTGCCGCCCAAGAGCGTCACCGGCTGGATGCTGCCAGAGATGCCCGGTGAGTGAGTCCGAGCGGCCCGCCTGACCGCTCACCTGTGACACTGACCGCTGACCGCTCAGACCGCTGATCACTGACCGTTTGACCTCTGATGGCTGACCACTGACCGTCTGACCACTGACCGTCTGACCGCTGACCGTTTGAACTCTGACGGCTGACCTCTGACCGCTGATCACTGACCACTGACCATCTGAACGCTGATCGTCTGACCGCTGACCGCTCACCGCTGACCGCTGACCGATCACCGCTGACCGCTGACCTGTGACACTAACCACTGACCGCTCAGACCGCTGACCACTGACTGATGAGTGCTGACCCATCTGATCGCTGACCACTGACCAATGACCGTCTTGCCACTGACCAATGACCGTCTTGCCACTGACCGTCTGACCGCTGCACTGACCGCTGACGGCTGACCACTGACCGCTGACTGATAACCGGTGACTCATCTGACCGCTGATCACTGACCACTCTGACCTCTCTGACCTCTGGTGACTGACCGCTGACCGCTCTGACGGCCGGCCGCCGCAGGTGTGATGACGGACATCCTGCTGTCGCTGGACGACCGGTACCTGTACTTCTCCAACTGGGCGCACGGCGACGTGCGGCAGTACGACGTCAGCGACCCGCGCCGGCCGCGCCTGGTGGGCCAGGTGTTCCTGGGCGGCAGCATCGTCCGGGGCGGCCCGGTCACCGTCACCCGAGATACCGAGCTCACGGTGAGGTCACCCGCGACACCGAGCTCACGGTGAGGCCACCCGAGACACCGAGCTCACGGTGAGGTCACCCGCGACACAGAGCTCATGGTGAGGTCACAGCGGGGTCACGGCGAGGTCATAACGAGGTCACGGTGAGGTCATGATGAGGTCAAGTTGAGGCCACGAGAGCCCAGAGCTTATCCAAGCTGTCACGCCTTTTTGTTTGCCAGAGCAGCTATATGGCAAACGTGCTGGTTATCCTCCGACGTAAACTGCGCGCCTGTTCCATGCTCTGTGAGTCATGCGGTCCACGTAAGCCTACTCTGTTGGATGCCCGACTGAGGCGCGATGCCCGCTCGGTCTCTGGTGTACGCTGACGGGCCGGTGTGTCTCTGGTGTGAGTACGCTGACGGGCCGGTGTGTGTCGTGTGAGTACGCTGACGGGCCGGCGTGTCTCTGTTGTGAGTACGCTGACGGCCGGTGTGTCTCTGGTGTGAGTACGCTGACGGGCCGATGTGAGTACGCTGACGTGCCGGTGTGAGTACGCTGACGGGCCGGTGTGAGTACGCTGACGGGCCGGTGTGTCTCTGGTGTGAGTACGCTGACGGCCGGTGTGTCTCTGGTGTGAGTACGCTGACGGCCGGTGTGTCTCTGGTGTGAGTACGCTGACGGCCGGTGTGTCTCTGGTGTGAGTACGCTGACGGGCCGGTGTGAGTACGCTGACGGGCCGGTGTGTCTCTGGTGTGAGTACGCTGACGGCCGGTGTGTCTCTGGTGTGAGTACGCTGACGGCCGGTGTGTCTCTGGTGTGAGTACGCTGACGGCCGGTGTGTCTCTGGTGTGAGTACGCTGACGGCCGGTGTGTCTCTGGTGTGAGTACGCTGACGGGCCGGTGTGAGTACGCTGACGGGCCGGCGTGTCTCTGTTGTGAGTACGCTGACGGGCCGGTGTGAGTACGCTGACGGCCGGTGTGTCTCTGGTGTGAGTACGCTGACGGGCCGGTGTGTCTCTGGTGTGAGTACGCTGACGGGCTGGTGTGTCTCTGGCGTGAGTACGCTGACGGGCCGGTGTGTCTCTGGTGTGAGTACGCTGACGGGCCGGTGTGTCTCTGGTGTGAGTACGCTGACGGGCCGGTGTGTCTCTGGTGTGAGTACACTGACGGGCCGGTGTGTCTCTGGTGTGAGTACGCTGACGGGTCGGTGTATCTCTGGTGTGAGTACGCTGACGGGCCGGTGTGTCTCTGGTGTGAGTACGCTGACGGGCCGGTGTGCCTCTGGTGTACGCTGACGGGCCGGTGTGTCTCTGGTGTGAGTACGCTGACGGGCCGGTGTGAGTGCGCTGACGGGCCGGTGTGTCTCTGGCGTGAGTACGCTGACGGGCCGGTGTGTCTCTGGTGTGAGTACGCTGACGGGCCGGTGTGTCTCTGGTGTGAGTACGCTGACGGGCCGGTGTGTCTCTGGTGTGAGTACGCTGACGGGCCGGTGTGTCTCTGGTGTGAGTACGCTGACGGGCCGGTGTGCCTCTGGTGTACGCTGACGGGCCGTTGTGTCTCTGGTGTGAGTACGCTGACGGGCCGGTGTGAGTACGCTGACGGGCCGGTGTGTCTCTGGTGTGAGTACGCTGACGGGCCGGTGTGTCTCTGGTGTGAGTACGCTGACGGGTCGGTGTGTCTCTGGTGTGAGTACGCTGACGGCCGGTGTGTCCTCCCGCAGGCGCAGCCGGAGCCCGTCTATATCAAGGGCCGCCGGATCGAGGGCGCGCCGCAGATGCTGCAGCTCAGCCTGGACGGCCGTCGGCTCTACGTCACCGACTCGCTCTACTCGCCCTGGGACAAACAGTTCTACCCGCAGATGGTGAAGTAAGTGTCCACCCCGGGACAAACAGTTCTACCCGCAGATGGTGAAGTAAGGGAGCCCCCGGTACAAACAGTTCTACCCGCAGATGATGAAGTAAGTGTCCCTCGGGACAAATAATTCTACCCGCAGATGGTTAAGTAAGTGTAGGTACCCCCTGGGACAAACCGTTGTACCCGCAGATAGTGAAGTAAGTGTAGGTACCCCCTGGAACAAACAGTTGTACCCGCAGATGGTGAAGGAAGTGTCCACCCTGGGACAAACAGTTCTACCCGCAGATGGTGAAGTAAGGGAACCCCCTCCCCGGGACAAACAATTCTACCCCCAGATGGTGAAGTAAGTGTACCCCCTCCCCGGGACAAACAATTCTACCCACAGATGGTAAAGTAAGTGTACCCCCTTCCCGGGACAAACAATTCTACCCACAGATGGTGAAGTAAGTGTCCCCAGATCAGACAATTTTACCCGCTGATGGTGAGGCGTTCTCTGAAAAGTGCTCCCCGGACAGGCGCGGTAGCATGTGTGCTGTTGTGTGCTAATGTTGCTGATATTTGCTGTTGTGTGCTATTGTGTGCTGATGTGTGCTGCTGTGTGCTGCTGTGTGCTGACTGCTGATGCGTGCTCTGTGGACAACAGGCGCGGCACCATGATGCTGCAGATTGACGTTGACACGGAGCGCGGCGGACTGAGCCTCAACAAGGACTTCCTGGTGGACTTTCACGACGAGCCGGACGGCCCCGTGCTGGCCCACGAGATGAGGTCAGTACTGATCACTGGCCCACGAGATGAGGTCAGTACCTTCTGATCACTGGCCCACGAGATGAGGTCAGTACTGCCTCACGAGAGGAGGTCAGTACCTTCTGATCAGTGACCCACGAGATGAGGTCGGTACCTACCTTCTGATCACTGGCCCACGAGTTGAGGCCAGTACCCACCTTCTGATCACTGGCCCACGAGTTGAGGCCAGTACCCACCTTCTGACCACTGGCCCACGAGATGAGGTCAGTACCTTCTGACCATTGCTCCACGAGATGAGGTCAGTACCTTCTGATCACTGGCCCACGAGATGAGGTCGGTACCTACCTTCTGATCACTGGCCCACGAGATGGTCATTACTGATCACTGACCAACGAGATGAGGTCAGTACTGATCACTGGCCCACGAAATAAGGTCAGTACCTACCTTCTGATCACTGGCCCACGAGATGAGGTCAGCAATCAGCAAAATCACTGGCCCACGAGATGTGTGACAGGTGTGATTTGATATGATTGAGGTGAGACCGCAGGTACCCACTGATGTATGACTGATGTGTGACTGCAGGTAACCGCTAATGTGACTGATGTGATGTGACTGATGTGTGGCTGAATTTACCCGGTGATGTGTGACTGATGTGTGACTGGTGTGTGACTGATGTAACTGATGTGACTGATGCGTGACTGATGTGTGACCGCAGGCAGTAGGTACCACTGATGTGTGACTGATTTGTGACTGATGTGATTGATGCATGACTGATATGTGACTGATATGTGGCGGCAGGTACCCGGGCGGAGACTGCACCTCCGACATCTGGCTGGCTCCCGAGGCAACAAAGCCGTGCAGTCTCTGAGCGGACCGCGGACAGACTGGACAGTCTGTGAGCAGCCCGCGGACAGACTGGACAGTCTGTGAGCAGATCACGGACAGACTGTACAGTCTGTGAGCAGCCCGCGGACAGACTGGACAGTCTGTGAGCAGACCACGGACAGACTGGAGAGTCTGATGGGGACCCGCGGACAGACTGGAGAGTCTGTAGTCTGTTGGGGACCCGCGGACAGAAGGGTCAAACCAGTGAGCAGCGAGGTGTGTCCTTGTATGTACATAGGGCCCCTCGTGTGTCGATGGACCGTCTGATGAGTGAGGCCGGCCGGCTGTCGGAGCGGAGCGGAGGGACAGCCGAGCGAGCCCCGCCGACAGCGAGCGCTGCGGCCGGCCAGCGGCGCGACCGGGGCGACATCTATTCGGGTGCTGGTGTCGCCATCTGTGATGGCTGGGAGCTGGTCGCTGAGCCATCTGTGATGGCAGTACATACCTACTGGTGAATTAACCATGGATCGTGCACAGTGGCGGATCCTGGGGGGGGTCCACGGGGTCATGACCCCCCCCAAAAGGTCTGAGAGGGTCATTTGACCCCCCCCCAAAAGCCGAAGACCTAAATGCGTTATAGACGCCGTCTTGCATGCTCAAAATCACCCATGGGTGTAACTTTGGAAACGACATTGGGGGTGCAAACTAGGGAAGGGGCCTCCAAGTGGCGGGGCCTCCAGTTCGCAGGGGCCTCCTAAGGAGCATGTACAAATTTACATATGTACATACATAACGAGCGAGCGAAGATGGACAGTGCTCGACGAGTAGGGTAGGTTCTTTCGAAACTTTAACCCTCGCCCTTGTAGGGAGGGGGGGGGGGGGTCGGATCGACCCTACTCAGTTTTTCGCGAATAACTAGCGCAAAAAGCGGCTGATCGCGACGAAACTTTTAGTATCCTCGAGTTACTAAATTTTACACACACCCTTAAAAATCATAGGTATGACCCTACCTAAATGACCTTTAACCTGTTATCTATTACTCGAGACCATGTTTGGCCAGAATCGAAATTCGGCGTATGTCAGCTCACATTATTCGCGCGGATCCAGTCTTTCCAGTCGTGCATAACTACTGACAAAATATCATGAGTGCACTTGTTTTATTTCACCATTTTACATTGAATATTCTTGCTCTGTATTTGAAACAAAGAATTTTGCGTATTTTATAATTCTTAGTGCCAATAAAGGGATGACACATTGGGGGTGCAACATAAACATTGAGGGTGCATAATTTAACTTTGAGGGTGCAACTGCACCCTCAAAAGTATACAAAGTTACGCCCCTGAAATCACCTGTCAAACACTTATGAGCTAATACCTTTGTTTTTCTGGATCGTGTTGCGTGAAAAGGCGTATTGAAGGCCAGAATCTTACTCGTTTTTGTCTCAACCGTGCGAGCACCAGGGGATGATCCAGGAAAACTCCAAGGGGATGGTCATGAATTTAATTCCTGGTGCCCCTACCTATACCCAAAATTAAAAACTCAACGGATTTCGGCCACACACCACTCTGAAAGGGAGAGACCCTCAGTAGAGAGGAAGCCCTCTGTAGAGAGGAGGCCTTCTGTAGTTGAGAGGCCCTGTGAAAAGAGGAGGCCCGCAGTAGAGAGGTGGTCCTTTCTAGAGAGGAGACCACCCTGTGTTCTGACAAATGTTTTTGCAAATTTTTCGCGGCGCTTCGCGCCGCCGATTCATGTACGTACAGGTCAATACGAAATCGTGACTGTACAGGGTGTCCCAAAATTAATGTCACACCCTCTCACAACCTTTATTTTGCCTTCTACGGCGCAATATCAATATAATTTCGCCGTTACTGGCTCCCAGACCATATTGGCTACATTCTAGTCACGTGACCTTCAAATTTTTGTGACCCTGACCGGTCAAGGGGTGGACGGAGGTCATTTTCGGGGCAGTACCCAGCGCGCGCGGACCATGTGTCCAGGATGGCAAAACTGCAGAGCAAATCGTCCCGCAGCGGGGCAGTCGACATGGTTGGCGGCGGAATGACCCACGGCCTGGTAGCCGAGGCACTGGGCACGAGTTGCCGCACGATTTGGCGCTGGTTGTCTTGCGACAGAAGCGGATAGACGTCTGGGAACAAGCTAGGTCGCGGCAGGAAGACTTCCGCCAGCCGGGTAGTGCAGCTCGACATCGCGAACTGCGGAGCTAAATACGGGCTTATCCACAAGGAATCTGGCAAGGGGGCTGATTGCTAACAGTCATCCAGTCTCCAAGTTGACAATTCATCGGTACTGGAGGCTGCTTCTAAAGCTGAAGCCCACCAAGTCACGTTTCCAGCCGAAAACCTCTGCTGAACATGTCCAGGGCCATCTTTCAACAGGTCGGGGTCCCGGCTCATCGAGCTAGAACGACGCAGGACTGGTGCAGATCGAACTTCCCAGCATTCTGGGAGAAGGACAAATGACCGGGAAATAGTCCCGACCTGTCGCCGATAGAAAATCTTAGGGCGATCGCCCGGTAAGAGGTGATCAAAATGGCACCAGAATAATCTGAAGGCACGCTGACCAGGAACGTTCGATCTGTCTGGTCCAAGATCAGTCCACAGAAGCTGGACATGTTGATGTCTGATGTTCCGGAACATATCCTTGCCCGTATCAGGGAGAAGGTGGGATACATATGTAAGAAAAGCGCACCTCTCATGTTTGTTATTTTCATGCAATTGACGCTGGACAGGTGTGACATTATTTTTGGGACACCCTGTAATTACACCAACCAACCGTGTCAAATTCAATCAGAATTTATATGTGTACTGTGAAGGAACTCCGGCTTGTACTGCCATGCTAAAAGGGTGGTAAAATTTGTGTTTTGGAGCTGTGTTTTGACAAATGCTTTTGCAAATTTTCTCCGCGCTTCGCGCCGCCGATTCATACACCAATCAATAAGAGAGATCGTGAATGTAAACCAACCGTGTCAAATTGAGTCGGAATTCATATGTGTACTGTGAAGGAACTCCGGCTTGTACTAGCATGCTAAAAGGGTTGTAATATTTGTGTTTTAGAGCTGTGTTTTGACAAATGTTTTTTTTTGCCTAATGCATTAGGCTAAAAGTGAGGTAACTATGTCTACTTCTGGGTTTTTAAGTCGGTTAATCCGCCCCCCCCCCCCCCAGTACAAAATTCCCGTGGCGACGCCCCTGTATAGGTGGGTTTCACTAACTAAAACTACTGAGTCGAGTGACTTACGATGATAAAACTTCATCTTAGAAACGACGAAGATCAAATGTCATTTGATCTCGAGATACTCGCTCCCTACCCCCCCCCCCCCCCGGTCGTCAGAATTCATCTATCAGACCCGGCATGTCGGCCGACTTGTGACCCCCCCCAAAAAGTTCCCCTAGATCCGCCCATGATCGTGCAATTGTTCTACACATCGTGAAATATGAATTATTAAATGTAAGTTGACGCAATGTATATAATAAATTACGTAAGGGTTTATTTCAGACAAGTGATGTTGGCTGGAGCAAAGCGACATAGGTACCTACCTACATCACGCAGCCGGGCAGCCCCGCATCATTCAGCTTAAGTACCTACCTACCTACCAATCAACTGAAAAAGCTTACTGTTTTGTCTGTCCAGACCAGAGGTGTTCGATTCACCTGTGATTGAATCGATTGGATTGAATCCAACAAAATTTGCTGAATCAAAAAGGTTTGATTCACGGCCAGGATACTTCGATTCACAAACCATGATTGAATAGAACGCATCGGGAATCAGGATTCAGGGTTGATTGAATAAAAAAGTTAATGATTCGTGAACTAAAAAAAAATTTGAAGTGAACATAGTTCATTATCAACAATAATGCCACGTGATATAGTTGCATGACAAAAAAAAAAAAAACATAACGATAGGCACATCCCTGAATCAGGAATGTTTTACCTAATTGCAGCAAAAAAAAGATATAAATATGTGAAAATGATCAATAACATGGCAGAAATGTAAAACTTTTATTGTAAAATAGGCCAAATATGAGAATGAGCTTTCGCTTTACAGCATCATCAGATTCATTGTTTTATGACATTTAAAAATTCTAGCTACACACAAAGTCTATCACGCGCTCAATGTTAGGTGGGAATATCGCAATGCAGATACATACATTCTTGACACGGACAATTTCGAACATGAATCTAGCACATATGTAGAAGTGTACAAAGGCAAACAAATAGGTTAAAGAATCGAGAGGCACGAAAGATATCGTTCACATCTAGATATCTGATAGGTAGAAGAGTGCTGGGCCGACAAGGCTATCACAGGGCTAGCCAGCAACAAATACGAGACTCCAGCCTAGGTACCCTCATGCGTCCGAAAGAATGTGCTTAGCATTACAATTGAGTACCTTTGAGTGTGTTAAGTGTGTGTGTGTGTGCGGGTGTGTGTGTAAAGGAGAGGGTTGTGACTTGTAAGGGTAGAGGGTGATGAAGAGTGTGGTCCTGATGTTTGTGTGTTGTGCGGGGCGTGGCGAATGAAATGAACTATCTAGTCAGTGGCCAAGAGCTTTGCATGGTGTTCAAACTAGGTTTAAGATTGCGTATGTGAAGTGATTCTTTAATTTTGATGTCAGCACAGTCCTTACCTCTATCCAGTATCTCAATTCTAAACGCATTGTTGAGATCCTCGTTGGGAAGCTGAGAGTGAGCATGTAGCGTGTGGTCCCCTAATGGTGTGTCTAGTTTACGCAAACGTGCATCGCTCAGGTGCTCGTTAACCCTCGCCCGTAAACGGCGATCTGCCACCTTCGCCCATGCAGGGGGGGGGGGGGGGTTGGTGCGACCCCCCCCCCTTGGCGTTTGAAAACGGAGCGTCGTAGAGCTTCGCTGAAAAGACCAACGGATTGCTCTCGTCGAGATCTCGCGATTGGTGGTATATTTTTTGGTCCTAGGTCAACATTTGACCTACTTTTGACCGGTCAAAGGTCAAATTTTCGGAAAAATAGACTTTTTCAAATTTTCCGCGGCGATTGCGGCAAAACGGTGGGAGATATCGACTTGAAACCTTCACTATCGTGTTCCTTGATCAATTATCTATCGTTTGGTATGTATTTCGTTTCCCTAGCTCTAAAAATGGCGCGTTGGGAGCGCCGGAAGTCGGCAAGGTCACAGTCGGCGGCAGAAATTCGAAAAATCAAAATTAAAATTTTTGAAATCTGATTGTATTTTTGGATTTGGGATGTCCATTTGCTCCCTATAGAAGCTAATATTGCTGCATATTCCCATTGAGGTGACAAGAATTAGCAAAATAGTGGTTCGGGCGCTTTTCAAAAATAGTACCGGACGCTGTTCCTCTTGTGACGTCATAGCTCCGTGACCTGACCTGACCCGGTCAAGTTTCTTATACCATGTGATAGCCAATACTTGCCCCAACATGCATGGGAAGTTTCATCACGATCCATCAACCGATGTCCGTACCACCGGCAGGAAACCTCGGGCGTTGGCACTCAGTTTGTGAAAATCCGGCCGGAGGCTGTTCCCTTTGTGACGTCATAACTCCGTGACCTGACATGACCCGGTCAAATTTTTTTTTATCAAAAGATGCGCAAGGTTTGCCCCATAAGGTACCCAAAATTTGGCGGCGCTGCGCGCCGCCGTTTTTGCACTATTTCTGAAAAACCTCAGGGGGGGGGTTGCACCAACCCCCCCCCCCCTACATGGGCGAGGGTTAAATCGGTACCGGACTGGTCTGGTGCATTCTCCTATATAAGTTTCGTCGTGTTGGGTAGTTTCGCACAGCTTACAGACTATCCTGTACACTACGCTTTTTGTGGTGCACTTCCCCGGTAGTCCATTTTCACAAGTATGGCACTTTTTGTTGCCGGATGGGCAGGGTGGTCTGGTAAGGGCCGAGGAGATCAGTTTTGTTTGTTTCGAGTTTTGTTTGAAACTTTGTGTGTAGCTAGAATTTTTTAAATGTCATAAAACAATGAATCTGATGATGCTGTAAAGCGAAAGCTCATTCTCATATTTGGCCTATTTTACAATAAAAGTTTTACATTTCTGCCATGTTATTGATCATTTTCACATATTTATATCTATTCATCATGGCAAAAAGAACCATCTCACATGTATTAAAAAAAAAGAATCGTTCATTAAGTTTTTGGCTGAATCAAACGTGAATCATCCCTTTTTTATTTTCTTAGTCTCTGAATCAAAAGGAATTGATTCACCTTTTTTTTTGAAGGAATTGAACGGTGATTAAATCGAAAAAAAAATCAAATGAATCAATGATTTAATCGATCCAAAAAGGTGAATCAATAACCAGTCTGTGTCTGTCACCTTCCATCCAATAGGTATGTTTGTACCAGTAGAAGTGGTCGATTATCCAGAAGTCGTCCAGCAAAGCCAGTGGACCTCAAGCCATTAGGCAATGTTGCAAACAGCCCTCAGTGCAACTCTTCCTTGGCTATCATAACAGGTTGGCGGGCCAAATCACAATGTTGGAAGCAGTAGGTATTTCGCCACCTCAGCAGCGACTGGGCCGTATCAAATTTAGCCCTTCAGTGAGCTTACTATAGAGCTCTGCAGATCGGGACCAAGGAAGACAGATCACTAAAAGGTGTGTGCAAGGGAGTCGACTCAACTCGCTTTGCATAGAAGGCCAACGATGCATTCCGAACCTACCTCTCAACTTCGACGCATTAAATTTTACCTATACGCACGGTGTTGATGTAGTACCTATAGGTACGATGTAGGCTCTGCAGGTGTAGGTATAGTTAACAATGGTGCGTATCAATCGATCCGCACTGATATGATGAACACATTCCAGATGCTCTCAATAAGATGACGAACACATTCAATTAGAGTCGGTGAACCACTCGACCATGTATAGAGATAACCGTCAATATCGTTCTGGATATATATAAACAAGATACCTACCACGATCGAATTTCAGCCGCCGAGCAGCGTTGGTCGCAACACGCCGACGATTCGTCTTGTTGATGGTGGTAGCGTCAATGCGCGCATGGTACCTATTTGATATGGAGATGCAGCGCCGGGCGCCGCGGAAAATATGAAATTTGTTTCGGCCGGTGCCACTCGATGTTTTTTTGTATGTGTAAAGCAAAAAAAAAATACATCGCAAGGCTTCATTAGGCACAAGGACAAGAAAAATCAGCGGAAGCGCTTGATCTGAGACTAGAGGTGACGGGCCATGGCCACGGCAGCCGCACCCGCCCCTCAACCGACGGTGACCGGTCACAGGGGATCCCCCCTCCCCTCCCGATCGGCAACGCCGTCACCTGACTACAGTGCTGTGACCGGGCCCGCGCACCTCCCCGACTCACCGGTCGGAAGGTCTGCAGCACCTCGTACGGCTCTGGGAACACGTCGTAGTAGCCGATGAAGGGCAGCACGGCTGCGCGGCCGCCCGGGACGGACAGGAGCAGCAGCAGAGCGGCCACCAGCAGTCTGAGTCGGGCCGACAGAGCCATGGCACCGCGCAGCTCAGCGCAGTTCACTCGGCACGCTCGGAGTCCAGTGCAGTTCACTCGGCACCCCCGGAGTCCCAGCCGCCGGCGCTGGGAGCGGCGCGCTGCTGCTGCGGGCTCCCCGCTCTCAGAGTCGCTCCCGGGAGCGGCGCGCTGCTGCTGCGGGCCCCTCGGTCTCAGAGTCGCTCCCGGTAGCGGCGCGCTGCTGCTGCGGGCTCCAGTTCGCTCCAGCTGGGAGAGGGCCGGCCGACGCTGCGGGGACGCGCAGGGCGACTGACGGCTTACGGCTGACACCCCGCCCCGCCGCTCGGCGTAACTCGACCCGTGGCTGATGGGCGGCTGGCGTTCCTGTTATCAGCGCAGCGAGATCGCGGTGGAAACGGGCCACCGTCTTGGAAAGATAGGTGTGACCGAGGGCCCGCACCGCACCCACCAGTCCCAGAGGCCCCCACAGACTCCTTCACCGCACCTGCCAGCCACCCCCTCCCTCTACCAAATTCTTACACCGCCCCTCCCCCTCCCATAGACCCCCATACTGCACCCCACCAGCCTCAGACCCCACAGACCCCCGGTAGGTCGGCAGTAGGACAGAGTACTTCCAGGGTATCAGGGCGGCGACCCCCGGTGGGTCAGCGGGTCAGAGGTGATGGCCTCGTGGCGTGTTCCGTATCGGACGAACGGTCCTCCGGAGTGGCCCCTTTCGCCTCCTATATCTGAGGGACAGCACAGCTCCATCCGCCTCGTATCGAATGGGACGGCACGACCCCATCTGTCGGCAGAGGATTGATTGCTCTCTCTG